ATTAGGTTAGGCATTAATAACTATGCGATTGTCTTCCCAGAGGCATGGCAGCCTCAGAACCAGATCTGGTGTTATCTACATGCTGATTGCAAAGGTCCAGAGGTGGACCTGCAAGGGAATGACCCTGAGGTCCTCCCAAAGCTGCTTAGTCATCCCTGGCTTACAGGACACCAGGCCCAAGTGGAGGCCACACACTTGTGTAAGAGTCTTGTGACCTAGCTGTGGCTGAACAAATAACCAGCAGACTGCCTCCAGCGATCATCATCTGACTGCTCTGGAGAATTTGACCCTATCTTGCCTAACAAGAGGGGTTTGTGGTGTGCCCATTCTTTTGCCTGGGTCATGGGAGGAAGATGGGAAGAACAGGGAAATTCAGAGGGTCTGAGAAGGCAAAGTTCTTGGTTGCCGTTCAGGCTGACTGAGAGTCTAGAAACTTCGACTCAACTGATAAAGCAAAAATTGCCTTCAGAGACAATGTGCCAGTCCCTAACGATAGCCCCAATCAAAGATACTAAAAATGACAAACTGGCTGCACATCAGGTTTGAGGCCAGCCTGAGCTACATGAGACTCTGTTTGACAAAATAAAACAAAAGAAAAACCCCTCTGCTTATGTTGGGCTGAAGTGTTTGTAACCTTGAGTTTTATGGGAGTAACACTTCTCCTTTCCCTTCAGAAAAGGACAGGCCTCCCAGGGATATTGACCAAACATGGCATATCAAGTTGCAATAAGACTAGGCACATCCCCTCATCTTAATACTGGATGAAGCACCCAGTAAGAGGAAAAGGGTTCTAAAAGCAAGCAAAAGAGTCAGAGACAGCCCCCACTCCCACTGTTCATAGTCCCACAAGAACACCAAGCTACACGACCATAAAATATATGCAGAGGACCTAGGTCAGACCCATACAGGCTCCGTGATTGTCGGTTCAACCTCGGTGAGCCCTTATGAGCCCTGGTTAGTTGATTCTATGAGCTGTTTTTTTGTGGTGTTCTTGACCCCTCTGGCTCTTACAACCCTTCCTTGCCCTCTTCTGTAGGATTCCATGAGCTCTTCCTAATATTTGTCTGTGGATCTCTGCATCTGCTCCATCAGTTGCTAGATGAAGCCTCTAAAAGAGGTTTTTGTTTGTTTTGTTTCTTTTTAAGATACATTTTTTTAAATGTATACAAGTATGTATATATATGGACCATACATGTGCCTGGTGCCCAAAGAGGCCAGAAGGGAGTGTCAGCTCACCTGGATCTGGAGTTACAGGTGATTGGGAGCCTGCCAATGGGGATGCAGAGCAGCAAACATGGGTGAGCAGTCTTCCCTGCTCAGCATCTTTCAGCCTTTGGGGAGAATTTTAAATCATACATTCTGTTGCAGCAGAGCCCAAGGTCCTTGATGGTGAACATCTTAGAGGAGTGAAAATCAAGACAATTCGGTGACAATAATACACTCTCTGCCCCCTAAGGTTGTTGTGATTTTCTCTGAGTGTCTGCATTTATGAGCCTTATAGAAAGAGACTCCAGGGTCAGCCTTCACAACCTGTGGAAGCCTTCCTTGGCTGAGCTCAGGGACAGTCACGAATTCACTGTTGCGGTCCTGCTGATCGCAACTGAGCATGCTCTGTCTTCCTAATTCAGGGCCCTTCAAAGCCTTCCTTTGTTCCCTAGGACACACTGTGGCCTTGCACCCTTCTTTCCCATGTGAGTGAAAGGAAAATCTCCCTGGATTCTGGCATCTGTTGATAATGAGAATAAGACTCCTGCTGAGCAAGACAATTCGCTAGTCTGAGCAAGCGTTCATCTAGGCTCTGGCACATTGCAGACAGTCCTCCTAGAGTTAGCAAGGGTGGACAAGAAGACACAGCCTTTCCATGTGTCCCCCAGGCAATGATGTCAGTCCCCAAGCAAAAGGGCCTAGTGAAACCCATTTGTCACTCTGAGTTCACCCTGGACTCACCTAGCAAATGAGGTCACCACCTCTTAAAGGAAAACAAACTTCTATCTTCAGGACAGTGATGGTTTGCGTTTGAGGCCTAAGTCAGGCTCCCTCTCCTCCATGGAAACTGGGGGAAGGGTCCCTGTCTCACTTGATTACATCTCTACACCCAAAGCTCCACAGGCTACTGTGACAAGTCACTGAGGTCTAATACTATTTTATTAAGGGGTGCAATGGGGATACAGACTCATGGATATAGGACAAGGTAGATGTTGCCGCTGATCCAGTTGCTGGGTCCTCTTGCTCTGTCCAGGGGAGATGGGAACCAACCACAAGCTGCTTCATGCCACCTGACCGGGTCCTCACCACCCAAGAGAGCCAGCACATACCCCCTCCTCAGTTTTAACCAGTCAAGCACCCAGAGAAAACCACGCCCATCGCGTCAGACACTCCAAAAGTCATTGGCTGAATGGATTGAACACCTACAACAACAGGCTTACCTAGATAACTTTTAAAAAGGTGGATCTCTGTGAGTTCGAGGCCAGCCTGGGCTACAGAGTGAGTTCCAGGAAAGGCTCAAAGCTACACAGAGAAACCCTGTCTCAAAAAACATAAACAAAAAACAAAACAAAACAAAAAAACCCAAACCAAACCAAACCAAACAAAAAAGATTCATATAAATACCAAAGAGACTAAAGAAAGAACTTAAAATGACAAACCTCCTTCAATAAATGTTATACAAACAGTAAGGATAATGAGAGGAGTGATGTGGGCAAAAGTTTTTGTCCTACCCGTCAACTCCCAAATAACTACACAAAGACTTGTTATTAATTATAAATGCTCAGCCAATAGCTTAGGTTTGTTACTAACTAGCTCTTGCAACTTAAATAAACCCATATTTCTAACCTACACTCTACCTCATGGTGGAACCTTTTTCAGCATGGCATGTTAGTCATGCTTCTCTCCGTGTCTGCCTGGTGACTCCCAGTGACCCCAGCCCTTCTTCTTCCCAGCATCCTCTCAGTTTGGCTCTCCCACCTAACCTCTTCCTGCCTAGCTATTGGCCAGTTAGCCCTTTATTAAACCAATAGAACAACAAATATTCACAGTGTACAAAAAAATTGTTCCACAGCAGAGTGATGAATCTTATATTCATGAGGGACCATCAACCCTCTCCCCACAACTCTCTCCCCATTTTTTTATGGGGAAGATATAAAAACAGTTTTAGAGATTGAACCTAGACCTTGTGCCCTGCTCTAAGTAACTCCACACTGTGTGAAACAGTGGCCCCAGGCCATGCCTTACCCTGGGTGACTCCATTTACAAGCGGCTGTAGGCTCAATTTTGAGTGCAGATAGAAAAACAAGCACCATCTACACATTCAAAGGGAATCGAGATCTTATGGGTTGGTTGTGGTGGCCATTAATCTCAGCACTCATGAGGCAGAGGCAGGCATATTTCTCTGAGTTCAAGGCTAGCCTGATCTCCATAATGAACTCCATGCCAGTCAGGACTACGTAGTAAGTCTGTCTTGAACAAACAGACAACATGAAAATTGAGACCATATGAGCACATGAGATTTTAAACCATATCAGAAAAGTCAGGCTCAAGAACTTACTGCACACACCAGATCAAGGGAGGGCAAAAGTCACTCACCCGATGCTACAGGGGACCACCTAATATGTGTACTAGAGGACCAACAGACAGAATTGCCAACTGCCCCTGGGCTTGGTTCCTCAGAGCCTTAGTTCATCAATCCAGCCCAACTGCTGTCTGGTCCACAGGTCTGCCCTAAGCTCCTGTGCCTTGCTTCAAACCGTTACACCTGGGTGCCTTAATATCTCACTTGATTGTCTACAGGAACTCCTTCTGTCCTATCCTCCCTCTGCCTCTGCCTTCTGAAAGACCTCTTTTGTAGTGGTGCTGTATGTGTGTGTGTGTGTGTGTGTGTGTGTGTGTGTGTGTGTGTGTGTGATGTGTTGCTGGGCTGGGAGGAGTTAACTCAGAACAAGAAACCATGTCGAATGTATGGATGTCCTGCTGCTAATAACACGCACACGCAGATTCCTTTTCACAATATGGGGTACAGATGTGTCTTTATAATACAAAACAATACAGCAGCAGCACATCTGTCCCCGATCCCTGGGTTGTAGTGAGAGAACTGTTGCCGTCACCAGGATTCAGATCACAGCTCACCCGTAACTCCTGGTGCACAGGCCTCGGTGGTTTGCTGGGCGGGTTTTGTTGCTTTGCTTGTTTCGTCCTTCCTCAATCTTCTTTCTTTTTCTTTTCTTTCTCTTCCTTCCTTCACTCCTTCTTTCCTCCCTCCCTCCCTCCTTCCCTCCCTCCCTCCCTTCCTTCCTCCCTTCCTTCTTGATTTATTTGCCCTGCCCCTCTTTTCCCAGGATCTGACTATGTAGACTCCCTGCTCCCAGGGCTGTGTGGCCACCACACCAGGGGAGATTGTTTGTTTTGGCCACAAATGAAACAACTCTCTCCCCCTACACATTCATTAAAATCAACCCATCTGATCTATTTTACTAGAATTATTGTTTTACTTTGCTGCCCCTGCTCGACTTCAACTTGTAGTCCTCCTCATATTTCTGGCCCCCAGACACTGGGATTATGGGCAGGCACCATTGACCTTTACACTTCCTGTACCCCCAATCCAATGCTGGAGATAGAACCCGAAACTCTGTACGTGCATTCAAGGCACTGTGCTACATCCCAAGCTTGTTCTGATTGAGAACACTTTTTAAAAATATGTGCTTATTTGGAGGATGGGAGACACATGCTTGCCATTGTGTGTGTGTGTGTGTGTGTGTGTGTGTGTGTGTGTGTGTGTGCATGTATATGTATGCATGTGCCACAGCACATGTGTGGAGGTCAAAGGACAATTTGCAGGAATCATTTTTCTCTTTCCACCCTGTGGGTTTTGGGGGGACCAAACCCAGGTCATCAGGCTCAGCATCAAGTGCCATTACCTGCTAAGTCACCTTCTAGTCCCCAATCTTCTCATATGTAGGGAAAGACATGTGCTAGCAAGAAAGTAAAAGGCACAAGAAGAAAGAGAGTACACGTGCAGTTTTGTTTTATTTTTTTACAACATAGGGTGGAGGCCAGAGAGGAGTTCATCAGAGTTGGAGGGCAGGGTAAAATTGTGGGAGCTGAACGGCCCCTCTCTGCTGCCAGCCCGGCGAACTGGAGGGAGAGTGACAGTGGCTGTGCCCAGAGGCAGCAGGAAGAATTGCTCCCCATGACAGTAGTTCCAGGTGACACTCAGATGCAGTTTTGAGACTTCCTCTTGTTCGTGAACTTGGTTCTCAGTTATTGTCGCCAACTTTGTCACATTCACACTTGGTATTTTGAGGATTTTTATATCCACCCCCCGGCTATTATTATTTTTAAAAAAAAAACCAAAAACAGTTGGTTTTCATTCAGCACAAGTGCCACCAAGAACACGTCCTGAGAAGAAAATGTCCTGTCCAAGAGTAAAAGCATTTCTTGTGTGGTAAACTGAGCCGCAGTTTCTCAAGAACCAGCTGGCCCTTCCTGTTCACAGAAGCCAGGATAAGCTGTCCTGCCTGCTCAGGGGGTCCGGCTGGTCCTGATTCCTGTCCTGCTCCAGCCTCGAGGAGTCACAGCTTACTGCACTTCAGCAGGATCTCAGCAAGTGCAGCAGGCTCTCCAGGGCTTCCGGTAGCCCCTGGCCTGTGAGAGCGCTGCAGGCCCGCAGCTCCCAGCAGCGGTCTCGGAACCTTTCCAGGCCCAGCCTGTTTCTGATTTCAAGCAACGGAAGAGCATCGGGAGCCTCCTGCTTGTTGGCCAGTACCAAGAAAGGGACACCGGCCATGTTGGGGTCTTCCAGGACTTCCTCAAGCTCAGCCACCGCCTCAGGCAAGCGGGCTTCATCTGTGCTGTCCAGTACATACACAAGGATGCTAGTGCCTTCCAGATAGTCCTTCCAGGTGGCCCTGAGCTGGCTCTGTCCCCCAATGTCCCAGAGAATCAGCGACACATGTCCGGGAGCTTCAAGAGGCTCTACGTTGAAACCCACTGTGGGTAAGGTCTCCACCAGTGGATTCCCTTTCAGTTTGTACAGGATCGTGGTCTTGCCAGCAGAGTCCAGGCCCATCATTACCACCTGGGCTTCTCCCTTGTGACCTCTGGAATTCGCAGAGCCCATGGCGGTCGCGGATAAATCCAGCTGCAGGAAGGCTGGGGGTGCACATCAGCTGTTCTTTTTTTTTTTTTATGGAGAAATGCAAGCCGGTGCAGACACACTGAGCGTCTACCCTAGAACAGAATAAGTCATTTCAGGGAAGGGTTTCAGACCCAGGCTGGACCTTTGAAAGGTCCAGGGTGTGAGGAAGTGTGACTCACTGGCAGCTGACCGGTCTCTGGCGCTGCTGAAGGACTGCCTGAAGAGACAGAACTCGGGTGTCCTTCCCAGGCAGCGAAAGCAAAGGCGAGATGAGGCTTCAGTCAGACCCCATTCAGTAGCGGCGGCGGCGGCAGAACGGGGTTTTCAATTCAACACAGTCTGTGGCCTCTAACCCTTCTGTTTTCCTCCCTAAACCCAGAAGTGGCAGCACACTGCATTCCAGACTGAGCAGAGAAGCCAGGTCACCGAGCGCTGACTTCTTGGAACTCCTCCCAGGACCAGCACACTGGCCTCTCCAATATCTATTGACAACTGCTGCGGACTCAAGCACATTTGAGTCAGAGCCAAGAAGTGTTCTACACCATCTAAAAAGGCCTCTAGAGCACCCCACACGGTTTTTAAGAAACCCTGATCTTTAAGGCCTGCGAATTGACTACAACTTAGGAAAAACTGGGGGGAGGTAAGAGAAGGAACACAGCACCCCTGGGAGTGTGCCCCCAGGAGCCTCATTCACTCCCACAAGCATTGAGGTTACCTCTGTGGTGTGCCTGGACCCGGACACTCCTCCACCACCAAGCTGCTTTCTGCTGGTCGCCACGTCCTAAGAGTGAGGCCTGAAGGAAGTACAGTGGCTGTTGCAACTTGTCCTCTGTGTACTTCCTCTCAAGTGGCTAGGGCAGACAGCCTCCTAGATTGGGGATGTGCCTCGGAGATATCTCAGCTCTCCAGTTGTCGGAGGAGCCCAGCCCAGCACCAAGTCCCATTCACAGCAGCCGAGTCCCCGGGGTCTGTGGGCAGCCCAGCACCAAGTCCCCAGGGTCTGTGGGCAGCCCAGCACCAAGTCTCATTCACAGCAGCCGAGTCCCCAGGGTTTGTGGGCGGCCCAGCACCAAGTCCCATTTACAGCCGCCGAGTCTCCGGGGTCTCTGGGGACTACACAGGCGCAAAGGAGTGCCACCTTTAGCTGCTTTCTGTTGTCCTTCCCTTGACTGCCGTGGCCTCCCTGGGAATTCCTCCCTGGGAATTCTGAAACACAGGCCATTTGGCACGATGTGCATCGATGCTTTTCTGGTGCCTGGAGAGGCTTTGATTTGCCAAACTGTAAAGCTTGTAGGAATCAAAACGGACTCACTTGTCAAGCCCTAACAAAAAAGGAGGCAGAAATATTGAATTAATTAATAATAAATAAGTAAACAAAAGAGGGGATCTTGTGCATGCATGACTGATAAGAATATCCATAAAATACTCTACTAGAACCACAACCTTACACACACGCTCACATGCACACACTGGTTATATACAAAGGTGTCTGCCCAACAACTGTTTAATCTTGGAATAGCACTACCTTTTTTTGTTTTTCTTTGTAGCCTAAGATGCTTTCAAAATAGTTATGCAATCCTCTTACTGGGTGCGTGTGCGTGTGTGTATGTGTGTGGCGTTTGAGCACGTTTGTGTGGGTGTATCCACATGCACGAACGTGTGCATGCATGTGGTGGCCATAGGTCACTGTCAGGTTTCCTCTTCAGTTACTCACCACCTTGCTCTCTGAGACAGGGTCTCTCACTGACCCCCAAGGCCCTGGTGTCTATCTGTATACCTGGACCTCAACCTTTCCCTAAGACACCCTACTGTGGAGCTCACTGACTTGGCTAGACTGCCTGGCCAGCAAGCGTCAGGGGTCTTCTTGTCTCTGGCCCCCAGTGCTGGGGTGACAGGTGAATGTCACTGTGTCCACATGGGTGCTGTACTCAGGTCCTCATGGTGTATGGCAAGTGCTTTATTAACTGAGCCATCTCTACATCTCCTTCCTCCTCAAAACTTCATTTGCCCCAACAGTCCTTGAAAGAACACACACAGTTTCCCTGGGTACATGGACCCACGTTGTTGGGTTCTGTTGTCCCAAATAAACAGCATTAGACTTCAGAGAGTGCCTCTGGTTAATCAGACAGAAGCCTATGTGTGTTAAAATGTAGAGTGTGATTCTAAACAAAAACCCCTCCAAAAGTGTGTGCATACACACACACACACACACACACACACACATTCAAATACACACATATATGTCAAGGTAAATCTAAATAACTTTTAATGTAGTGGATCTATGGGAGGAAGAACTGTGGTGGTCTCTCTCTATAGCAACTGCTCTTGATCTAGTCTCCTGAGAACCAGAACTGCGGAAAAGCAACATTAGCCTTTGGTGGTGGTGGTACTACAGCCGATGCTTCCCCTCTCACAGACCTCCACCTCTCTGTGGTCCACCATTGTCAGGTGCTATTGCCTGCATGTAGGTTCCATGTACTCACGCCTGAGCACTTTATATGTAGACTTGTCTACCATTTCATCATGTTGCTTTTCTTTCCTTTAGGCCTTTGTTGATTTTATTTCAAGATCATGTTAGTGGGTAGTCCTGTGTAGAACAAGAGTCGGGCTGAGCCTGGGCCAAAAGCTCATCACAGTTGGACCTGTTGGCTGTTTACCTTTCCTCACTGGAGGAAGGGGCAGAGAGGGTACAGCCACCTTAACTAGCTACAATTCTTCCCTAGTTGCATGTGACCTTGGGTCTTGGGGGAGGGACTACAGGATGCCGATGGGGAAGGATGAAGGGAAGAGGCTTCATCTACACAGCCATGGAGAAGCCACCATCCCTCCTGGGAGCAGACCTTCTAGAGTAAGGTCGCATGGAAGTCTCCCCATTGGCCTGATACACTCATTGGTTCCCAGTGAACTCTGGAGGAATAAACTGTGGTTTATCACTGGGACCTGAGGGGGCAGGTTCATGTTATTTTTGTCTCTCCCAAGGAAAGGGTTTTGGCAATGCACTGTTATTTACAATTTCCATTCCTAGATCTTCAAAATGGCCATTGTAAAATAGGTTACATAAAAATGAGGGGCTTCCTTTGTGTTAGAGCCCAACTGTAGAGAAGAGCATAGCTAGAGGAAGACACCCACGCGTCGGGGTCTGAAGAAGTAGGGGGCAGGAGGAGGCCCTGAATCAGAAGTCCTCTGGGGTGACTGTACTGAGTGAGTGGGCTGTTTCTTCAGGGCAGCACATGGACTTATTCCTGTGTGCAACATGCTTCTTTCTGCCTGTATCCCGTGGGCCAGGTGGGGACGTTGGTGACAGTGTGAGCATGGTGGCAGAGAAGTCAGATAATGCATTTTTCATGAAAAAGTGAGGTTCGCAAGCTGCATGGTAACAAGGCATCACCCAGTATTTGGGAAGTGGAGGCAGGAAAATCAGAAGTTCAAGCACAACCTTGACTATGTAATGAGGATGGGCTGGGTTACCAGGCTAGAGACTTTGTTTCAAAAATAGAGAATATTGATGTATGACTATAGAAAGGTCTAAGTCAGCCATAGGGCACAGTAGACAGAAAATGCAAAGAACATTTCCTTACATTTAGAGACTGTATTAATACCTATGTATCTATTTTCACATACTTTTTAAAAATTAAGTATTTATTTATAGGGGGCATGTGGGCTCTGGGGATTGAATTCAAGTCGTCAGACTCGGAGGCAAGCTCCTTTACCGGTTGAACCATCTCAAAGGCCCCTTTACATGCTTATGAACACGTATTTGTGAGTGTCGTCTTGCAGGTTTCCTAGATGGCTGATCTCACGGGACATGGCTGCTCTACTGTCCCCTGCAGCCTCCCAAGGAGGGCATAGATCTGCCTGTTCATACGTCCTAGGACTGACCACAAGCACAGCATCCACCAAAGCTGCAGATCGGCAGCAAACATTCTGGAAGGAATATTTATCCAGGCAGTGGTACCTGGAAGCTGTGCTGTGTTCCCTCAGGGCCAGACGCCTATTGCTCCTTGAATTATGGGGCTTGTGTCCTGATATGGGCTTCCACAGTGGAGCGCTGGGTGCTGCGTGGAATATGCAGGTCTCCTATACCTCCTATACCTTCACAGCCCCTGGCAGTTCAGCTCTGCACTTGGCTGCCTGGGCCATTTTGACGATCTTGGTGGAGAGGAGTGATGCCCTTTATAGCATTCAAAGTTAGCACTGTGGTCTTTTCTTTCTTTAGTTTCCTGCCTAAGCAGTTTCGTGAATCTACAACACTTTCCATGCCTGCTTTCAGCTGGGTGCATATTTAACAACCTGTTTGCCAATTACAGTCCAGGCTAATTATAGCCATGTTCCCCGAGGTTGTAATGAGAGGATGTATACACACACTCTTGGATTCTGTTTGTTTGTTTTTTTCCCATTTAAGATTGTATTGAAAATTACACGGTCTTACTCTGGTCTCCAGCAGAAGCAGTGTGGTATCTTCATAATTATACTGTCCAGGAGAGTGTGGACCACTGTCCTCTGAGCACAGTAGGGTTACATTCTTAGTCCAAGTAGCTGGGCTCACTTACAGGCCATCCTCAAAATGGGATCTGTTGACAGTCCTTCATACGAGGGCTAGGGAGAACTTGTGATTCCAGCCACTGCGTCCTGTGTCCCCCGATTTCTACCACAGCTTTCCAGGACCGGGGCAATGCTAGAGTATACTGAGTGTAGAGGTGGCTAAGAGGGGCACTCCATCAGTGCCACCATGGGGAAGTCTTCATCATGCTGAGGTAGGAGTTGGTGATGGTGCCCTTTTGGGGACACTCACCCTCCTGTTAATAATTCCTTATGCATGTGACTGTAAGTAAGAAAAAACTCCGTGGTTCACTGGGCCACACTTGGACAGAATTATTACTCGGTCTGTGTTGATACAGACCTGAGATGAACAGACATTTTGTTCATTTCCACAGGAAAAGTCCATGCAGCAATGCCATTTATTCCCGAAGTCTGCAACAACAAAACCAGACTAAGCCAACACCCCTCCCCTACTCCCTAAAAACACAAACCACAGAGCTACTTCATCGGCTAGATTGCAGGGTTGTGGCTTCCGGGACAGAAGAAATGAACAATACCTGTTGCTTAGAGCTTTGACGTATAGGATGCTGTAGTACTAATTCTGCTTTGATTTTACATGTTGTTTATTGCTCAATCCCCCCCTTTGTGTTATAGGTTAGACCTATAACCTATAACACGGAACTGGGTTAGTGCCCAGTTCTGTGACATCTATGACTGAGTTCTTTAGCAGTGGCAAGAGGCAGTGACTGGGGATATTATCCCAGACCACTGTGGGAAGGTGGGAGAGAGAGAGAGAGAGAGAGAGAGAGAGAGAGAGAGAGAGGAGAGAAGAGAGAATGTTTTCTATCATGATTGTTATGGTTCCGCCACTATCAGCTGCTGTTCCTTTGTGTGAGGTGTTTCATTTCCTCCTTTCTCCAGAAGTCACAGCACACCCCGTGGTACCTGTGGAGCCCAATGCAATGTGGTGGCACACTCCAGGTTGGTCTGCGGCCCAAAGAAATGTATCTTTCCATGCTTCTGTTCATGATTGGATGGGTGGTGTGTCCTTATATGAAGCAAATTATCCACCCCCAAGTAGAGTTAAAAGCAGGAAAAAGAATGACCACTGCATGCTGTGTGCATGTCTGTTCACACATTTCCTCTCCAGTGAGTGTCTTCCAGCTATTTCACCTGTGTATCTCACTGGCCAGGGCCAGAAATAACTTCTTTTGTCTTGGCTCTATTCATTTTCTCTAAGAACACCGCTCCTCTCTCAGAATCTGAATAAAACAGTGCTACTCTTTGCAAGAAGAAAGCAAGAGTCACGTGTGGTGTGAGGCCAAAGACACTATTGCTACACCCTCCCCTCCCCCACGGGCCCTGCTAGCTTTTCTTTGCACAAGGTAATGCTGTCTTCCAAAGCCATTGGCCTTCGACCTGTGGTAACCATATGTACAGCTGTATGTGTGTGTATAAATATGTGTGTGCACATGTGTATGTGAAGTTGTGGCTTTTCAGTATTTGTCCCTGCTGTAGCATCATGAGCAAAATTTAAAAAAATCACAACTGGGTGGTGGTGGCCCT